GAGCCATTATTTTCTGATAAACCTAAAAGTTGGTGTTGCCAAAATTACCAGAAAAGGCAGTCCTACTTCCTTGGGTTGTTTCAAAATTTGGATTATATTCCCTGAGTGTGTATACCAGGGGTAGTCAACCTTTTTGTACCTACCGCCCACTTTTGTAACTCTTTTAGTAGTAAAGTTTTCTCTAACCGCCCACCAGATCCACAGTAATGGTGATTTATAAAGTAGGGGACAAAACCCCTACCGCCCACCATGAAAGCTGGAACACCCACTAGTGGGCGGTAGGGTCCAGGTTGACTACCACTGGTGTATACCAAAAGCAGAGGCGCAGGGCAGGGCTGAATACACTGACTCTATATGAGATGACAGCATAACCTCTGCCTTAGCGTTGGTATTTCTACATCAGAAATATCCCAGGTCAGACAAGGCTGCAGCAAAGAGAGGAGTCTGTTCATGCTATGACAATTCATGATTAAGCCCTGACACTTAATAAAGTGATTGGACCTGTAAAACATACTAAGCTATCTATCAAATTCTAAAACATGTAGTGGTTGGGTTTACATTCAACCAAAACCAAACAAGCTTAATCATACAGCTTAGTAAAGTGTATAAATCAAGTGATAAATATTTAACTTAAGTGTTTATTTGTACCATTACTCTTTGAAAGCACTGGAACAGTATAATTTCCAACACTATCCAGCTTCTGATTGTTCCAATATGATTTTGCATAAAGCAATTTAAGCTTTATACTCTTATGTAAATAAAACTGGTTCCACTTATAATAAAAAGACTCTTAATTGGATTAGTCTCTAAGAAGCATATGAGAGATCAGTAGGTTTAACCAGCTTAGATATCTGATTTTTAAAGACGCCTTTAATGAATGTCACAAGAGTTATTAGAAAATGAAAGCCTCCTCAGAACTGCCTTCCTATTCTATGCACGTGTGTCTGATCATAAATCACCCAAGATGAAAATCAGTTGTTATTTTTGGACTGTTTTTCATACTGCTTCCAGGAATTGCTTTTTATTTATTCTCAATAGGGCATTTAAAATGTTAAGTACTCATACATCTTGTTTGTATATTATGCGTTGTACCATTCATTTGCATAGTGCTTTAAAATGCCAAACAACATATTGATAATTGAGAAAAGAATAACACATTTTTACATTTTTCTCACAATTTTTCCATAATTACAAAGAATAACAGGATAACAGAGTTGGAAGGTCTGTTCTTCTTTTCTTTTAGCATCCCAGAAAATAAGTGCCTCTGAGCTTCTCAGGTTTAGTTTTTCTGATTCAGAGGCTTCATTATGATAAAAGCAAAGCACAGTATGGGCCAAGATCTTTTGCTTTTATGCTTAGTTCTATGGTGCCTGCAAGGATTACAAATAATAGCCTGAACTTTATTTTTAAATATGAAAATGTCATAGTTTCACGCATACTAAACCATGTTTTTCAAATCTGTTTTGTTGAACAATTCAACGTCATACAAAACTAGACCATAATGTATGACTATAACATGAATTGTTTGGTGTAGCTTTGCATGTACTGCGAACCAACTCATTGTAGACTGTTAATATGATTCTGAACACCACAATTGTGACAAAAAGCTAGTTGATATAAGAGTATTTCTATAGTTGCCATCGTCTCATAATTTACAATCTATGATTTTTAAATTTTCTGGCTTTCCTATTCTTTTTTCACCATAAATACATGTAAGTCTATGTGTCTTTCTCAACAATCTGCACTTGCACATACAGTAAGCAGACAGTATATGCTGTATGGCCTAGAAAGTGCCACGATTAATCCTGAGGACTTTAAGGCTAGGAAGGAGAATGAGTGAGATATCTGTGTCTATCCCCAATGTTTTTAATGTACAACTTCTAGAAGCCCAAGTCAACGTGCCCAATTGTGAGGAATGCTGATAGGTTCAGCAACATCGCATCTGAAATTCCCTAGTACTGATGGAAAGGTTTGCTGTTATTTAAGTTTTTGCAGATGAATTATGCAGGAACATATACCCTCACTGTGATACCGTTAACTCAAAAGCTGTGCAAATTCTTTATTGAAACAATGTTTATATTATACCATAGTTACTAACTAAGTATGTCAATCTTAAATGATTTACAACAAAAATGGGTGGAAAGGAGGGGAAAATTATAAGAATATGTTTTTAGTTAATGGGAAAAACAAATGAATAGAAACAGCAGAGATCTGGAGAAGATTCACCATTACAATACTGGAACTCAGCCAAAGTAGGAAATTCAGAAGAAAGCATAACACATAGCCTATTGTTTTGATGATGACTGCCTTTATAAATGAAATAAATTCTAATCTAAATGGAATTAGATAAATTCAGTATCACTCTTATCACCTGCTCCTATTCAAAATAAAGTCTAGATTCTAAAACACCAAGGCACTCTAAATACCATCTGGCATGGTAAAAGAGTAGAGGAGGAGTCTGGACACCTATTAGTAAATGGACTTTCCAGCATCATTAGATGAGTTACTGCAAGAATTTGGTGGCCTTTGATTTAACCCAGTAAGGACATGTTTCTGTTTTTAAAGGAAGGGAGAGTAATCCCTTCAACCACAACAAAAACATGAGCATTTAAGAATCACAAACATGGTTACATAAGCTCATATTAAAGCCTACTAATAATTGAATTGCTATATAAAGATGTAAGAAAACCTGCTTTGTGAAGATGCCTGGGAAATAATACCTGGCGGAGTTTTAATGAGATTTCTCCCTGTACACTAGCAATTATTGCTTATTACTGCAGCATTAAGTTGCCTACCTGTATCCTAGCAAACTTCTGAACTTAAATTATATATTATAATGAGTAAGGCACAAACCCAATCACTATCATTCTATGGTTATTTGCTGGATAACTGAAACTGTAACTTGTTCACATCTATTCATGCAGTGAAGTTTTTTCATCTGATGCAGATATTCCTGCTTGGCAGCCATCATTCAGGGCAGCTTTTTATGCAGATCTTCAGTTTCTTGTTCTTGAAAACACACAGAAGCAAATTGCTCCTATAACTATACATTGCAAATTCTATCCTCATAATAATAGTAGCAATACAAAGTCACATTTTACTATATGAAATGAGATTCCTGCATAGATTGGGCTTATCTGTGGGCAGAGTTCCCCTTATTTGGTATGCCACATGAAGAGAGGATTATAGATAAAGTGTAATGTGATGCACTACAGAATCTGTCCCTGCATACCCACATACATATGCCTCTTTGAACCACTGTAGATTCCTTGTGATTGCTTGGTCTAGTTTATAGTTATAAAAAGTCCCTCTGTTGCATAAGGATCAGATTCCATTTTTGATATCGTCATCATATGACATGGATATTCTGAAAAATAATTCTGCTTGCTTAACGCTATTTGAACTGAATGTTTATGGAGATTCTCAGTCATCCAGGTCATGGATGTCCCAAAAATGCTTTTTCAAGAGGCAACTGGAGTTTCTGGTTTTTATTTGAAGATTTTCCCTTTCCTCATCCAAGAAGCTTCTTCAGCTCTGACTGGATGATGGGGAATAGAAGAATTTATACTGCTGGCAGACAGCTGATCATTTGCATTTTTTAGTGAGTCATTAAGACTACCTGGAAGCTTATCTGTGTCATCATGGTCCACTGAGTGGTGCAAATGGGTGTGGAGCCTTCTTGGAACTGTTGAAAAGACCGTGTAGACTGGAGATAGATGATGTTGTATCCTTCCCCCTCTGTTGAGAGAAGGCTGTTCAATTTTGACATAGATGGCCTCTTTGGTCCCTTTTTCAAACCAGAGGTCCTCTCTGTCCAAAATGTGGACTTTGCTGTCTTCAAAAAGAGGGGCCTTTGTCTTTTAAATACAGATGGACTTCTGAATCTAGTCCTGATGGACTTGTTCTCCTATGTTATGCCATGCATTTATGAAGTGGTTGTTTTGTTTCCCCAATGTACTGATCTACACATGGCTCACTGCATTGTACTGCATATACCACGTTGCTCAGTTTGTATGTGGGTGCTTTATCCTTGGGGTACACAAGCTTCTGCCTTAATGTATTTTTGGGTTTGAAGCGTGCACTATGTTGTGTGGGCTGAAGATCCTCCTGAGCTTTTCCGATATTCCTGCAATGTATGGAATGACAATGTTGTTTAGTTTACTCTTCTCTTTGTTGTATGTTATGGAGAAGCTCCTGCTGGGTCTTTTTTTTTGGATTTGATGAAGGCCGACTTGGGATAACTACACTTGAGGGCTTCTTTGATGTGTTTAGATCCCCCCCCCATCTTTGTTGGTAGGCAGGCCTTCAGCTCAGTGATGTAGGTTATGATGACTCCCATTTTGTGCTTGTATTGGGATAATGGGTAGCTATCTTGAGACTTTCTGCCTAGAGACCAGCTACTGTCTTGTGAAAGAAAGAAGTAGCCAATTATGCTGTTTGTGAAGAAAATAATTACTTTCTTCTATTAAATTAAAAAAAAAAAAACACCCAAAAGATATACTGCTTTAAATATAAACTATCAGATGAAATAAATGTAAGACAATGGTGTCTTACACATTTTAGTTTGGCTACTGGAATGTTCTTCATGTACAATATTTGAATATACAAAAGTACACAAAGAATAATAGAAGAAAATGAAAATGGTTTATGTAATTTAGCATTAGGTATTATAGCATCTTGCTAATATAGATCTTATCAAGAGCTCACCTGACTTCAACAGCTTTGCTCTGAAATGGAATGTTCCTAGTGAGAATTTTAAGATCTTATTTCTAAGTGGTAAACACAATTTCTAGATGTTCTTGCACGCAACGGAATCCTAATTCATTATCTGAGGTGTTTTGTGAGCTAAAATAATTTAATTAAAACTTCCCTTGATCAAAAAAAGTAATTAAATATTAGTGTCATAGAAATTATTGTATCAGGTGTCTCAGCTAAATATACTGCACAGTATATAATGAGGAAGAATTTATCAAGAAATCCATAGTCATTTTTGCAATTATGGTGTTCAGATAAGGCTTATCAACCCTGCCACCTCATTTTATCACTATGTTTATCAATATACATTTGCTGATAAATGTTCATAAATGGGTTTCATACATAGTACATGTGTCCTTGCTGCTTCCCACAATTGTCTCTGTTGAGTTGAATTCAGTAGAAGGGTCCAAGACCAGGTCACTAGGTTGTGCCTGTACCTGAGCAACTTCTTTCTCTTCTTCCATTTCTAAAACTATACTATCCTGTGTCGGGTGATCAATACAGTCCTTCTTAGTTAATTGGTGAACTGAGACTTTTATAGCAATCTTGAGTGGTGGTTCATGCAAAGAAGATGCATCTGAATCAGCGGCAAAAGAGTCACTACGCTTTAGGGGACTGGGAATCATGTACATTTCATCAGGGTCCGTGATCCCTTGCCCCACAGCTGATTGTTGCACAAATTTATGGCCTTGTTCCTCTAATTTGACTACTTCTATGATTTCTTCCATGATAGTCCTACAATTCATAATAAGAGGTGGTAGAGGAACGCTTCTAGCTAATTCCTCAATGTAGCGGGCAAACTCCATTGTCTTAAACTGGGTTACTTTGGCAAGCTCAAGAGTTTTTGCTGAGGTGATGATTGGGATGCGCTTAGCAATCTCAAAAGCTTTTTGCAGCTTTTCAGCTCCTTCCGTCCGAAAAAAATCATTGATCGCTTTCTCAGTCTTTTTCAAGTGGCTACTCATCATGCATAGTCTAGTAATATTTAAGATCAAAACAACTGTAAATGCTACAAGACATACAATCATGTAGTAGATCCCCATGTCTCCAGCGGTAAATACAACCCTCAGGGTGACAGTATTATTCATTTTGCCATAGATGTTAGAAGCAACACATGTGTATTTTCCTCGATCTTCAAATGACACACTGGTAATATTTAGTTGCCCGCTATTGAGAATCCATTTTCCTGCTGGAAAGAAGTGAGAATTAATTAGTGAAATGTTATCTATTTTTTCTTCTCATCATCATTCAGGAAATATCACAATACATTCAAGTAACTGATTCAAAGACATCTTATAATATGCCTACAATATTCTGGAATAACTGCTGCTAAGAAACTTGAATCTTGGCCATTAATTAGGTCTAAATACCCCAAACTGTTTGTCCAAGGTTGCCATAGATAGAATGTCCCATGATATTGCTAGGTTGTAAAACCGTGTAGGTTCCCAAGCAAAATTATCCCTTAAATCATTCTGTGATTATCTTGCACACATTTCCAATGATTTTAAAGTCATCTAATCTGAAGGAAATCTTATGGTTTCTTTGTGTAGGTAAGAGACTGTAAATGATTTGTATATAAGCAAAAAAGTAATCTGTTCCTATAAATTAAGGGCAAGTAACAAAGGACTTTGATGTATTTCTGGACTTAAGTCCAAATAAAGCAGTATTTTATTGCACATTTATTTCAAAAGATGCTTACATTTATTTTGACACAATAGAGGCATAACAATACAGAATATTTATGAGGAACGAGCTGTTTAATGTTTAAGCAAGAGATTCCCTTATACAATAACAGATCAGATTACTTGATTGCCCAAGCTCCTATTGTCTATTTTGATTGTCACAGCTCTCTGGCACAAGTAAATCTCAGAATTTTATTTCTAATGCTTGGAGTACCCAGGGTATTATCTTACTATTGGTCCATTTAGTTTTGAATTGGTCACAGCTCTGATAGCAGCTCTTCATAATTTTAGATTAAAATCCTTCCTAGTTTTGACCATGTCACATGTTTAACTTTCTGGATCAAACTTTGTGTGTCCTATACTATTTAACTGGTATACTTCTTGAAAATTTCCAAGGCCAAAGAGATCACAGTAAAGATCTGGGCTAGGAGAACTATATCAGAAAAGCAACTGAGGGGCATGCTTAAACAATAATGCCAGTCTTTGCACTTTGCCTCACTTGTAACTAACTAAAATATGAATATGTCATGGCAACCTTTTTATTTTGCTGTGTTTTAATGAGGTTGTCTGTATCTCATATTTAGTCCATGAACAAATAGCCAGTTTTAAAATAATGTTTCCCTCTTTAAGCCAGCAGACATACATGGCAGTTTCAAACACCTGAAATTGGGTGGCTTTCTAGCCTCAAGTGAATTGTACATACACTTAGGGTTAATTCCTTTAATCTGTACACATGCGTCCTCTCCCTGGGTCTGGATCTTTCTTTGGCTGAAGAAATACTTTTTATTTTTATTTATTTATTTATTTGATTTGTCAATCACTTACAAGATAATAGGTAGAAGTATATACATAGTTATGAATACATGAAATGGGTACATATAAGAAAAATAAAAGAAACAATAGGACAGGGACGGTAGGCACATTGGTGCGCTTATGCACGTCCCCTACAGACCTCTTAGGAAAGGAGTGAGGTCAATAGGAGACAGTCTAAGGTTAAAGTTTTTGGGGTTTGGGGAAGAAACCACAGAGTCAGATAGAGTATTCCAGACATTGACCACTCTGTTGCTGAAGTTGTATTTCCTGCATTCAAGTTTGGTGCGGTTAACCTTGAGTTTGTATCTATTGTGTGCTCTTGTGTTGTTATGGTTGAAGCTGAAGTATTCATTGACAGGTAAGTCATTGCAATGTATGATTTTATATACCATACTTAGATCAGACCGAAGACGGCGTAATTCAAGGTTTTCTAGGTCTAGAATTTCAAGTCTGGTGGCATAAGGTATTCTACAACGAGTAGAGGAGTGGAGAACTCTTCTTGTGAAATATTTCTGGACTTTCTCAACTGTGCTAATATCAGATACGTAATGTGGGTTCCAGCCTGATGAGCTGTATTCGAGTATTGGTCTAGCAAATGTTTTGTATGCTCTAGTTAGTAGTGTGATATTACCAGAGAAAAAGCTACATAGGATTAGGTTAACAACTCTTAATGCCTTTTTGGCTATGTAGTTACAGTGGGCTCTAGCACTTAGATCATTAGAGAGGAGTATTCCAAGGTCCTTTACAGAGCTTGGATCATCAACAAGGTCTTGACTATTCAGCTTGTATTTTATTTTCTGATTTTTTTTGCCAATATGTAAGACAGAGCATTTATTTGTTGAGTTTTGAAGTTGCCATTTGTTTGACCATTCTGATACCTAGTCAAGATCTTTTTGAAGGGTAGCAGTGTTGTCTGTGGTATTGAACAGCTTTACATCATCAGCAAAGAGAACGCAGTTGCTCTTAATATGATCACAGAGGTCATTTGTGTAGAGTATGAAGAGAGTTCTGGCTACAGATGTCAATTGCTCCCATACCTGCAGTTCCCTGAAGCCTGCAGAACAGCTAATAGAGATAGGGGCGCAACTCTGTGCACAGGAAAACTGGTTTTCTCAAAACCCCATGACCCTGAATTTGAAGACATGCAGCTCACCAGCTTGACTGTTCAGCTGGTAATCAGCTGTTCTTCAGGCTTGTATTTAGACTGGTTTAGTGTATCAGAACTGGAATTTTGAAAAAGAATGCCAATTCCCTTGTCAAAACAAGGCTGAACTGCTGACAAATGTTGTAATTATCATTCAAAATCCTGGATGAAATTTGTACCTTTGGTTTCTCCTTGCCTTGATAAATATTTCAAGGAAGGGAAGAAATAGCTTCAAAAAGACCCTTCTGTATGTATGGCAAAATAGTAAGGACAGAAGGCCCTCCTGTTAGGAACCATGTTCTGCATGAATACAAATTGAATACAAACCATTGGGCCCTAATGGATTACATCCCAGAGTTTTAAAGGAGCTGGCAGAGGTCATCTCAGAACCACTGCACCATAACTTTCAAAAATCCTGGAGCACCGGGGAACTACCAGAGGACTGGAAAAGAGCTGATGTGGTTCCCATCTTCAAAAAAGGGGAAAAAAAACAGACCCAAGAAACTACACACCAATCAGCCTAACATTAATATTCAAGACAATACTGGAAAAGATAATAAAAAACAGATCTGCCAACATCCAGAAACAAGTAAAGTAATAACTAGCAGTCAGCACGCGTTTGTAAAAAACAGATCATGCAGATCATGTAAAAAACAGATCATTCTTAAACATAGCGACTAAATTAGTAGACCAGTGAAATAATGTGGACAAAATATGCTTAGATTTCAAGCAAGGCATTCAACAAAGTAGACCACAACCTACTTCTTGGTAAGCTAGAAAAAAGTGGGATAGATAGCACAACAACCAGATGGATTCGCAACTGGCTGACAAACCATATTCAATGAGTAGTCCTTAATGGGTCTAAGTCTATATGGAGGGAAGTAAGCAGTGGGGTGCCACAAGGTTCCATCTTAGGCCCAGCACTCTTCAATATCTTCATTAACGACTTAGATGAAGGAATAGAAGGGGAACTTACCAAATTTGCAGATGATACTAAGCTGGCAGGAATAGCTAACACCCAAGAAGATAGGCTCAAGATCCAGATGGATCTTGACAGACTCGAACACTGGGCCATTATCCAACAAAATGAAATTCAATGTAGAGAAAAGTAAAGTCCTACACTTAGGCAAGAAAAACCAAAAGTACACATATAGACTGGGTGAAACCAGGCTTAATAGCAGTAACTGTGGGAGGGATCTTGGAGTCTTAGTGGACAAACAACTAAATATGAGCCAACAGTGTGCAGCCGCCGCCAAAAAAGCTAATGCAATCCTTAAATTGCATTAATAGAGGGGTACAATCAAGATCAAGTACTAATACCACTCTATAAAGCCTTAGTAGGAATACTGCATCTAGTTTTGGTCACCACACTATAAAAAAGATGTTGAGACTCTAGAAGAAGTGCAGAGAAGAGCAACCAGGATGGTTAGGGGACTGGAGACTAAAACATATGAAGAACGGTTACAGGAACTGGGCATGGCTAGTCTAGTGAAGAGAAGGATCAGGGGAGACATGATAGCAGTGCTCCAATATTTGAGGGGCTGCCACAGAGAGGGAGGGGTCAACCTATTTTCTAAAGGGCCTATAGGCCAGACAAGGAATAATGGATGGAAACTGAACAAGGAGAGATTTAACCTGGAAATAAGGAGAAACTTTCTGACAATGAGGTTCCATGAGCAGGAACCTATGAGAATGTTTTTCTCCTACATGTCCTCTTCCCATCAATAGGATTTGGCTTCTGGTTTTTGAGTTTGCATACAGTCATCTTAGCAACAACTAATAATACACTTATCTTTAGTAGCATATCTAGAGTCATCTTTTGGACTATCATCCCATCTTTTAACAAGCATGTTCCATACATCAATATATAATTTGTAAATAAGTGATTTTCTTTAATTCACCCGAATCTCAATATCAGTTATAATTAAAGGATAAAAATCACTCTAAACCTTTATCATGTTCTCACCATCACTGCCTTTTACCTATAAATTTATTTATTATTTAATTAATAAATAATTTACAGATACTGTGATATTTCCATGCAGTTTTTTTAAATTAATGTCACCTGCATGGTTTTGTTTTTGTTTAGTATGAATACTGCAAGTGCATGGGAATATGGGCAGAGTAATCAGGATCAACACTGCAATGGGTAGGATGGCTATAATTCTTCCCTTAACAAAAAGTGATGTTTCTGAATATGTGGTGAGCATTAGGAAGTTAAACACTGTTATTCATCATGATTTCACAGATAAATTAAAAAGAATAAGAGAAGTAACAGCAATAGCCAGAATCAACATGATTGGGATTAAAGACTGGTCCTAATCTGAGTGATTTGACGTGTGGTGTGGTATAAGGCACCCATGGTACACAGAAATATTAGCAATAGCACTTAGACTTATATACCATTTCACAGTGCTTTTACAGCCCTCTATAAGCGGTTTACAGAGTCAACATATTGCCCCCAACACTCTGGGCCCTCATTTTACCCACCTCGGAAGTATGGAAGGCTGAGCCAACCTTGAGCCTGGTGGGATTCGAACTGCCAAATTGCAGTCAGCCGGCAGTCAGCAGAAGTAGTCTCCAGTACTGCATTCTAACCATTGTGCCACTGTGGCTCTTATAAATGGTTAATGGACGTACAAATCTTTTATACGCAGTTATAGAGACAACTTTCTCAGCTCCACCAGCATTCTCTAAAATATGCAGATTAAGTTTGGGAAAAAAATCTTCCTGTTGATAGTTGCCTCAGTCTATCAAATATATTTAAAACTTTGCATTTATTTACCTTGAATAAATACTATTGAATCCATTTACTCATTTACCATGAGTAAATAGAGAAAATCAAATTTACAATAGTTGGTGCTTTTAAGGCAATATTGCATGAATTCAATATGTTTGCATAGATTGCATAGAAAAACATCTGAAAACTGTACCTCTGTCACCATCTTCTTTCACCAAATGGCCATTTGAGTTGTACCACTTGTACACTGGTTCTGGATAACCTTGAACATTGCAGTCAATCAAGGCACTATAACCTTCCTTGACTATGATATGGTCAATTCTGGAGATTATCATCGGTACAGATCCTGTCAGCAGGTCTGTGTAATTTAAAGTGCTGTTAATGACATCTTCAGCAGTTGTCCATACTGCTAATAAATTGAAAACATGAAAGATGGTCCAGTAATACAAAACAAGGTGGCTCTTGAACATGTTCACCTGTCTTCAAATATATCTGCCAATCACAATTAGTGGACCTGGAACTGGGAAATATACCAGGCTGGAGCAGCCTATCAAATTTGATCCCTCAAATTTCAAAAGCAAACAAAATCTAGACCTGCAAAATAAAACAAGTTATAGCAATAAAAATAGACGTAGCAGAAGTAGTTAAAGCAATTTTGATTTAAACTAATAATCTATCTCAGAATTCATTGTTTCAAAAGTTTAATATTCAATGTTAGTGCTATCACAACTCCTGATATTTTTTTTGCTTTTTTGTGTATTGTCTGATACAATTTCAATGACAGAAAAACACTGTTTTGTTCAGATCAGTGATTTTAATTTTAAAAAATATCAGAAATAATGTTTCTTTTTTTAAAAAAAAATCTAAAGGAACAAAACAAAAATGATTTTTACAATTGAGTTCATATCACTAACATTGTGTAGGATTAAAGATTAATGTAACAGAAATGAATGTTCTTAACTAATCTACTTATGCCAAAATGCGTATCTAAAATGTCTCAGGTTATGCTAGATGAAAAAAGCTGTAATACACATATAATATGAATGTAAACATTTTGTGTACATGATACAATGTAGCTAAGGGTTTAGCATGTATTTCAAATAGATTCTTTACATGTTTTTTTTATTTGTACAACATTTTAGCAAATATCTATCCAAACGAAGACCTTTCCACTGGAAATAAGTTAGGATGTTTGATCTAGAATTCAATTTGTGTGCAGTTCTTTTAAATAGATATACTATGGATAATAGTATTAATGTCAAAATAATTTTATAGCTGTATATTGCATATATTTCAAAGAATATCCTTACATATTTGCATTTGATCATCATACAAAAAGAATTTAGTATCATCCCACTTCTGTTGCTTAAACCTAAGAGTAACTGGCTTGTTAGTCAGCATAATTCTCAGTGAAGACATGTGAGAGAATAGGGAAGGGAACATTAATTCAAAGTTAAAGTTCTGCTTTGCATATAAAATATCCTTGGTTTGGTGTGTGTCATTGCCAGTTAAAGAGATCTCAATTGGCAGGGTTATTGGCTAGAAAAATCAATGGTCTGTTCAGGTGACTGTAATATTATTTGTTTCCTAGAACTGCATACAGGTAAGCCTCAGCTTACAGTAGTTCATTTAGTGACCATTCAAAGTTACAACGGCACTGAAAAAAGTGACATGACAGTTTTTCCACGCTTATGATGATTACAACATCACCATGGTCATACGATCAAAATTCAGATATTTGGCAACTGATTCATATTTATGACAATTGCAGTGTCCCGGAGTTATGTAATCTCCTTTTGCAGCTTTCTGACAAAAGAAAGTCAATGAGGAAACCAGATTCACTTAACAAACTTGTTACTAAATTAACAAGTGAAGTGACTCACCTAACAAATGTGGCAAGACAGATGGTAAAATGGGGCAAAATTTATTTAACAAATGCCTGACTTAGCAACAGAAATTTTGGGCTCAGTTGTGGTCGTAAATCGAGGACAACCTGTATTGCTTCTCTGTTGCTTTCGGCTGCAACAGCCTCCTTTAATGCTTAGGAACATGTTTAATTCAACATAGATGATCCAGAATGGTCTATCAGCTGTTCCATCTGGTTCTGTACTGTTCTGGGCAGGTGAGATATGTCCAAATAAAATACTGGGTTTATGGGGTTCATTGGGAATCAGAGGCAGTCTTAGAAATAAAAATTATAGAAGAATATGGTGTTTTGTCAAGATGTTAGATGACCAGAAAACCTGGGGATGTGGAGAAATTTAATGGATTGTATTTCATGTAGAGGGTTGTTTATGAAATTTATGTTAAACAGAACAACTGTATGCAAAAAAAGAGAAATGTTTTTGTTTAAATTTTATTTGATTAAAATCTTATTTTATGTCAATTTAGCTGATTTGTTTTTTTATAAATGTCCTGTAAGTTTTGTGAATACTATAGCTGCATTAATCAACCTGGATTTATTTACAGTCATGTTTATTTACAATGACAAGCAAATCACGTTTCCAGTTTAGTGCACAAAGCTAGTATTCTGGAAACAGCTGTATCTCTTTATTAGATATTTGTTTAACTCACAGGAATACCCAAGACTATGATGATTGTGAGTGCAGCTGCTTCTTCTCAGCTGCAGTGTCTGAGTCACACATACAAAACAACCCAAGCATTTAAATCCTTCCTATTGTACAGGAAGTAGTAGTTAAAGTAGTTAAAAGCCTTCAGTGATGTGAGCAGCTACAACTTCTGAAGGCAAGCTGTTCCACTGGTTAATTGTTCTCATTGCTAGGTAATTTCTCTTTAGTTCTAAGATTGCTCCTCCCTTTGATTAACTTCCATCCATTGTTTTTTGTCTTGCTTTCTGGTGCTTTGGAACATAGGTCACCCTCTTCTTTTTTGTAGCTGCCCCTCAAATATTGGAACACTGCTACAATGATGCCCCTAATCCTTATTTTCATTAGACTATTTTAGTCTAGTGTAATCTAGTGAATATAAACTAGTCTGTTCTATAGACTAGTCTCTACTCACTAGACCAGGGTGTCAAACTTGATTTCATTGAGGGTTGCATCATGGTGGTGTTTGACCTTGGGGAGCCGGGATAAGCGTGGCTAGCTCAACGTCACTCGTGTTGGGGACTTTGCCAGTTCCATTTTCAGCTGCAACAGCCTCCTGCAATGCTCTGCCAGCAAAAACAAGAGGAAGGCAGCCCTACCAAGCTCTGTTTTACCTGGCAGAGGCACGGTGGGCTGGTCCTTCACTGTTTCCAGGCTAGCCCTATGGGCCAGATCTAAGAACTCTGCGGGCCAGATCCAGCCCAAGGGCCTTGAGTTTGACAAGCCTGCACTAGACTATGTTAGACTAGACCAGGGGTCGCCAATCTTTTGGACCTCAGGGACCACCAAACTCCTAATTTTAGATCCCAGGGACCACTATCCGGTTCTGTGGGTGTGACCTAATTTGTGGGTGTGGTTTGGTGGTCATGTGACTGGCTGGGCATGGCATGTATGTAAATATTATAACTATTTATATAAATATTGATTTTTTTATAAAAAAGAGCAACTTTTACCCAAAATCAGGCAAAGCAGGCAGGCAGATTGAGTTGCTCACAGAATCACAGATTCATTCAGAAATCTATCTGCCATTGGCTAGCTCAGTCTGTCACATAAATTTTGCTTGCAAGCAAACTCATAAAATTTGCTAGCAAACTGACTCACAAAATTAACTCACAACACACCATGTATGTAAATATTGAATTTTTTTTATTAAAAAAGCAATTTTTACCCAAAATCAGGCAAAGCAGGCAGATTGAGTTGCTCACAGAATCATTCAGTGATCCATCTATCTGCCATCGGCTAGCTCAGTCTCTCAAATTTGCTTGCCGTGAGTCTGCACTGAATTTGCTTGCAAGCAAACCTTCAGTCCTAAGGGAAGCAGAGCTGAAGATCTAAAGACTAGTTAGAAAGCAAGAAATCCAACCATTTCCTGCTTCCTAGCTAATCTAAATCTCCCGGCACAGCAGAACAGATGATGGTTGGAGAAAGGAAAAATAGCAATTTTAGCAGGCAAGTTTGCCGGGTAAGGAGTGAGTGGGCGGGGAGCATTCCCGCGGGCCATGTGGGCGGCGCAGCCTTGTGTTTCTGCACAGCCTGGATTAATTGCTTTGGGAGGGTGCTCTGGGGGTGAGATTTCTCTGCGGCCCACCAAAATTTTCTCAAGGCCCACCAGTGGGCCGCGGCCCACTGGTTGGTGACCGCTGGACTAGACTATAGGATATTATGTACAGTATGACTTGGTCAAGCTTCCTTACAGATGATTTTCTTTTTTGTTTTGCACACACACTCCAGTCACCAATCATTGAAGAAAAGCTTTAGTAATTAATATTTTTTCATTTTTATGCAACAGAAGGTACTTATTTAATTTTCCCTATTTTATTTTTATTTCATAAAATACATGAGTGAAATTATTAATTTTGTGCTTAGGATCATAAATGTTAGAAATAATTTGAAATGAGTTATAATGAATTCAAGTTAATTTCAAGTTAACCATTTCAAGTTAATAATTAAATATTGTAGGCTCCCATTAATTTTTCTTGTTTTTTCCAGAATCTATTAAGTTTCTAAGTGGCAATTAATTTTCCAAACCCTTTATGAGCTTTTGTTTGGGGAACGATTTATGTTTATGATTGCTCTTTAATGTAATATAACACTACTCTTAATTATGTCCTTGGCATTCTAGGCGGACCAGACTGAGGGCTCTGAAGAAGTTTAGGTGGCATAATGGAATCTTCTGTATGTGTTTTGCCACTAAATAATTGGAGAGAAATTACGTTTTTTAATGTTTTTTAATCAATTGAGCATTTCCCAATATCTAATTTGATAAGCCATAGTAACTGAAACATCTTTCACCAATCCTTATATAGCAGAATAACAGAATTGGAAGAGACATTGGAGGTCTTCTGGTCTAACCCTCTGCAGAAGCAGTAGACCCTATACCAGGGGTCTTCAAACTTGATAGCTTTAAGACTTGTGGACTTCAACTCCCAGAATTTCTCCTCCAGTCATGTTAGCTCAGGAATTTTGGGAGCCGTAGTCCACAAGTCTTAAACTTGCCAAGTTTGAAAACCCTTGCCCTATACCATTCTAGACAAATGGCTGTCGAATCTCTTCTTAAAAACCTCCAGTGATGGAGCACCCACAACTTCTACCTGTAGGAAAGTTTAAGTTCCCAGGTTCGAAGTTTGAAATGTCCAGTTTAAATAAAACATCAGGAACAAAAGGATGGGAAATAGCCTAAATCAATTTTCCATGCATAGAACTGTACAGTTGTTTCTCTTTTCTGAAATTCTTTCCTTAAAGAATTTTGCTCCCAGAACCCTGCTTTGAGGCTTATTATCAAATCCCATTTCAAAAAAATATTTTGAGAACTTTACTGTGTATTATGTTGATGCTTCCCTCTCCCCTTTAGATGGCACTTTACTCTTACTTACATTATAATTATTTATTATGACAGCTTGGTTCCTAAGATAAGTTGCTTTAGGAAATTTCATGGAGATTAAGCTTCCTTGATTCCCTTTCCTAAACAACTCCCCTATCTTAGTCTGGTCCCATAATCTCAGGAGCAATTATTCTTTTATCTAGGAGAAACAGGTGCTTGCAGGGAGAATCTGCAGCATGCACGGAGAAACTTCCTGAAAAGGATCCAAGGCACAATGTTTAGGAGGTAAGGCAAATAATGGAAACTGATTAATAATTTAAAATAAATATACACCAAATTTAGTCAGGTGGATGACATTCTGCTCTTACTAAATCGTGCTAAGAATCCCAGCTGTCTCTTTTAGTTGTGAAACAAGTGTTAGCCACCTACAGTTTTTGGCAACCAATAACTGCACCACAGCAAATGTACAGTATATTAATGGTAAAACAAAGAGCAAAATTGTGAAGCATAATGTGCTTTTAGGTATGCTTTCATATTTGATACTGATAGAAGCGTGACTGGCCTCGTTTGCACTTATTCTGCCATACAGGTAATCCTCAACTTACAATCATTCATTTAGCAACTGTTCAAAGTTACGACATTGAAAACAGTAACACACAATGATTCCTCACACTTATGACTATAGCACTATTCACACAGTCATATGATCAAAATTTGGATACTTGGTAACTGGCATGTATTTACAACAGTTGCAGTATCCCAGATCTTCCCAGCTGGTTTAGACAAGTAAAATCACTTAATGGGGGAATTCATTTAAGGATAGCATAATACATTTAACAACTGCAGAGATTTGTTTAACGATCATGAGAAAAAGGCCATAAAATGAGGTGTGACTCACTTAATTGCTGTACTTATCAAAGGAAATTCTGGTCCCAGTTGTGGTTGTAAGTAGAGAACTATCTGTACTTAATCAACTGAATTTGCCTTGGTCTCAATAAGGGTGAATATCTGGCCAACCTCGATGCTAGTTATCATATTTATTCAGTTCCCCCCCCCAAGTGAAAACACTGACACCAGTTCAAATATACTTGCTATTGTTTTCCCCCCCATGTATTTAATTCCAGCATTGATGCCACCTCATGTCCCTGTTTCTGCATAAAGCTCTGGGACTGTTAAACCAGAGACCCTTTCCCAAATAAGATGTTGCAAGGACAAGGTTTGCTCTCTTGGAAAGCATCAGAGCCAGAGTGGTTCAGCAGAGGTTAAGGCACTCCCTACTCTTCCATGTCTATCAACAGAAAAGAAGTCGGAATCGAAGCAGTCTCTCAGTTGCTGATCTGCCTTTCTTATATGGGCCTCTTTAGAGTCCCGTTGCAGTCTACTTTTAATATTATGGGGTCCTTGGTGATCTCTGAATCATAATGCCACTCCCTACTAACACTGATGATGTTACCCAGTTTGGTAATGAAATGCCTGCAAGGAAACTAACAAGCCCACAGAAGCAAGGATCCCACAATTCAATCCTGAACTTCTATTGGTATTTTTAATATTCTAAAACAGGCACATAGAATCTCTGGCACTCCAGATGTTGTTGAACTGCAACTCCTAGCATTCACAAACTATTTCAGGCTTTTGGGAATTGTAGCTCTGGAATAGATGGAAGGCAAGTTACCTCCTCTCCCTTGATTTAATTCAAGCCTTCTGGTTGGGAATCAAGTTTTCCTTAGACACAATACATGGCTAGGATTAAGGAGGAAATATTTTGCCCCTCTGCAGCCCTTTCCTACAGACCAACAGGGTTCTTATCTTACAATCTTTTCACAGAACTATCAACTCATATGTTCCTATGCCAGCCCCAGAAATTTTTCTTCTAATTTTCCATTCTCATTAAGTTTCTGAAAGCAGGATGCCTCCTAAGTCTAGTCAAGAGTCAGATGAGGCCAACCAAACTTCGCTCTAGGAAAGTGGGCAGAACAAAAGGAAAAGAATAGATAACTTATGCCTAATGGTTTAAACGCTGACTCAATTGCATCGCGTCAACTAATTCCCATCACAACTACCGCCTCAGGTTTTCGTTAACCCAAACGATGGATTTGGGCGATGCGCCCGCAGAAGTTGGCACACAAGAAGCCACCAAAGAGCCGTCGCTACCTTCCTCTGCAATATCGCCCTTTATAGTCCTTTTCTTCCCACCCACCACTACCTTTGCTGGTCGAATCTGTCAGGGATAGTTGGGAAAGAGGCGAAGGTTCTTTCTCCCTCCTGGCTGTCTTGATCAACCCCCACCTCCTAGCGTGAGGCGTCCTATCTGCATTGCTCAATGGCAGGACGTTCGGCGATTCCCAGGAGGGATGGAGATAAACCGGACAGAAATGTTTACCAAGAGGCAGCTTCGTTGGCCGATGAGAGTCTTCTTGTCCGCAGCGTTTTTCCCTAGAGCTGCGGTTTAGGCAAATTTGGAAGCTACTTCCGGTCTTTTTGGAGCGCCAGCAGGTGCAGGAGGACTTGCTCTCCCGGGGAACCTCAGCGCGTTGCACCCTTCTTACTCGCGCTTCTGCCGCCGCCGCCACAGTCCCTGCTGCCTTGCGCTCTCTCTTCCGCGCGCTCCCAGCAAAGGCTGCAGAGACTGAGCTCCCCGGACTCAGCTTGCACAAGTAGGTCAGAGAGGCACTGAGCATGCTCGCTGTTGAGCCAGGCTGCTGTGGAACTGCTCAGGAGTTACCCTCTGCCTCTTTCTTTTCGTCTCCAGCGAAGGTCACATCAGTGTTTAGATGCGGGAGTGAAAGACGATGCGGGAGGCTTAGGCCCTGGGGAATTCGTTCCCCTCAGATAGGCGCAGAAGAGACAGCATCTAACGTGTAGCGCCGCGCTGTTAGTAGATGGATCGTAAGATACGATGGAGGTACTTTAAAATGTATCTCTGTATGCGGTCATTCGGCTGTTAACGTATTTGCTTTTTATTCAGCAGAGGCGAGTTTGCGCCTATCTTTTCCACTTGCTTCAGTGATCATTCTGGTTCTTCCAATATTTTAGTTTATTCACAACTAAGAGTAAATCGGGTATGCAGTGTTGAGTTTCTGTCCGCAGTTTGTCAATTGGCCTAATACTCAAAGCTGGAGAGAAGGGATTAGAGAGAAAAAAGTTCAAAACAAGTCTACATTGAAGTCGGGGACCAGCTGAATAGATTCAATTACATTAGCAGTGGATGCACCATTAGAAGATCTGAAACACCAGGTTAGGAATAGATGTCAGGGGAAAAATATGTGAGCTCTTAAGACTTGACAAGGATTTCTTGGTGCATCAGCATTACCTTCATCATAGGCTAAGTAATTTAAAGAGGGGCTGCCACAGAGAGCAGGAAGTCAAGCTATTTTCCAAGGCACCTGAAAGCCAGACAAGGAATAATGGATGGAAACTATCAAGGAGAGATTCATAAGTGTGGAAAAAACGGTTGTATGTTAGAGATAATCAGAGTTGGAAGGGACCTTGCAGGTCATCTAGTCCAAGCCCCCCGCCCAGGCAGGAGACCCTATACCATTTCTGACAAATCTCTTCTTGAAAGTCTCAAATGATGATGCTCCCACAACTTCTGAGAACAAGCTCTTCCATTGGTTGATTGTTCTGTCAGAAAATTTCTGCTTATTTCCAGGTTAAATCTCTCCTTGTTCAGTTTCCATCCATTATTCCTTGTCTGGCTTACAGATGCTTTAGAAAAGGGGAACTTGCCAAATTTGCAGATGATACTAAGCTGGCAGGAATAGCTAACACCCAAGAAGATAGGCTCAAGATCCAGATGGATCTTGACAGACTCGAACACTGGGCCATTATCCAACAAAATGAAATTCAATGTAGAGAAAAGTAAAGTCCTACACTTAGGCAAGAAAAACCAAAAGCACACATATAGACTGAGTGAAACCAGGCTCAATAGCAGTAACTGTGAGAGGGATCTTGGAGTCTTAGTGGACAACCAGCTAAATATGAGCCAGCCATGTGCAGCCGCCGCCAAAAAAGCTAATGCAATCCTAAGGTGCATTAACAGAGGGATACAATCAAGATCAAGTGAAGTACTAATACCACTATATAAAGCCTTAGTAAGACCACATCTAGAGTACTGCATCCAGTTTTGGTCATCATACTATAAAAAAAGATGTTGAGGCTGTAGAAAAAGTACAAAGAAGAGCAACCAGGATGATTAGGGGACTGGAGACTAAAATATGAAGAACGGTTACAGGAACTGGGCACGGCTAGTCTAGTGAAGAGAAGGACCAGGGAAGATATGATAGTCTTCCAATATTTGGGGAACTGCCACAGAGAGGAAGGGGTCAAGCTATTCTATTCCCTCATCTAAGTTGTTAATGAAGATATTGAAGAGTACTGGGCCTAAGACAGAACCTTGTGGCACCTCACTGCTTACTTCCCTCCATGTAGACTTAGACCCAATGAAGGACTAATCCTTGAGTAGTTTGTCAGCCAGTTGCAAATCCATCTGGTGGTGGTGCTATCAAGCCCACTTTTTTCTAGCTTACCAAGAAGTAGGTTGTGGTCTACTTTGTTGAATGCCTTGCTTGAAATCTAAGCATATTTTGTCCACATTATTTCACTGGTTTACTAATTTAGTCACTATGTTGAAGAATGAAATAAGATTGCTTTGGCATGATCTGTTTTTAACAAACCTGTGCTGACTGCTAGTTATTACTTGTTTCTAGATGTTGGCAGATCTGTTTTTTATTATCTTTTCCGGTATCTTCTTGGGAATTAATGTTAGGCTGATTGGTCTATAGTTTCCTGGGTCTGTTTTTTCCCCTTTTTTGAAGATGGGTCTCTGCAGTTGTTAAATTAGTAACATGATTGTTAGGTAAATCTGGCTTCCCTATTGATGTTGCTTGTCCGAAGGTCATTAATTGTGATCACATGTCCCCAGGACACTGCAGCCATCATAAATATAAGTCAGTGGCCAACCATCTGAATTTTAATCATGTGACCATGGGGATACTGCAAATGGTTGTGTGAAAAATGATCTTAAGTCACTTTTTTCAGTGTTGTTGAAATTTCCAACAGTCACTAAATGAACTGTTCTAAATTGAGGATTACCTTATTGTTGTCAACATGTAGCATTTTCCAGTGAATGTACTCACAGCCTCCACTCTAATGTTATTCAGCCTGCACATGTAATTTCTTTATTTGAAATGATGCCCTCTGATCACTAGTTGGCTGTGGTGTTGATATAAAGTTGCTTCATATCATAACTTAAATCTCTTGAATTTTTCTGTGGTTACCCACTAATGGGCAGGGTGTGACATTTGAAGAGAAACAGAATGGAGAATTGGAAGAATTGAACACCTGCCGACAAGTTCACCTGACCAGATTTCAAGAATTACTTGAAAAGCTGCCCATAGTTCACAATAGACATTCACTCACATCTTGACAACAGGAAGTTTCCTTATTGCACCTAAAACATCATCTTGTTCCCAGCCTGTGGGTCAAATAACTTTATGGTATCATTAGGTATTCCAGTTTTTAAAACTTATTTCTTCCCTTAACCCAGTCCTTCCACCATTGCATCTAGGTATGTAAAATCTGTAAACTTTTTTTTACTGACCTGTGGGTGTGATCTGAGGTGTATTTGGGGAGTGTGAGGAGGGGAAATATGCCCTCTCTGGTTATTAGCTAGCCTCTGCCACACCAATTTCATTATTAGTCTTTAGCCTCTCCATAAGCATTTTGATTCCTAGTATTCCTTCATACTCATGGTTTTGCTTAGTAATATTTACAGCCTGTTCCACTCGAACTAAATTTTGGATGGTATATTCCAAATAAAAGACCGCATAAATATTGAAAATTAAATAGAAATAATAAAAGATCACCAGTGAGTGCTTCAGTTGCTCCAATTCCTACAGCACAGGACTGTGCATTCCTCCATAGGGAAGATCCATAACATGAAATCTTTCACTGCAAAGGCCTATCCATGAAACTGAAACCTATAAAGATGGACTTACACAGGATGAGAATAAGATAGGTGGGTTTTTGGCAAGGCATTGCCTGATATTGGACTGGGATTAGGGAGTGTTATGTGTGGTCAGTTTTCTTTCTTTCTTTTTTCTTTCTTTCTTTTCTTTCTCTTCCTTTCCTCTTTCCTTTTTCTCTTTTCTTCCTTCCCTCCCACACTCCCTCCATCTCTCTCTCTTTTTATCTATCTATCTATCTATCTATCTATCTATCTATCTATCTATCTATCTATCTATCTATCCATCCATCCATCCATCCATCCATCCATCCATCCATCCATCCATCTGCTGCCATTGTTGTTCTGGCAACTCTATTGTACATTTCAATTAAAAATCTACCCAATTTAAAAAAGAATGACCAGCAACTAATCCATTTCAGTTATCTCACTTTATAGCAGGGGTGTCAAATTCGATTTAATTGAGGGCCAGATCAGCATTGTGGTTGTCCTTGGGAGCCTGGGGCAAAAGGGGTTTGGCTGTGAGTGCCCAGGCATAGCCCAGGAGTGTGGCCAGCTCGACATTGTTTGCTAGGGGGGGACCCTGTGGAGGCCAGGTGGGGTTGGGAGGGAACCCAGGGGTCTCTGGCAGGTGGGGCAGTGGAGAATTGTCCTGCAGGATGAGGCGAGGCAGGGAGCAGGGTGGGGTGCCACCATCATGAGGCAAGGTAAGGAGATGGGATTGCTGCTGCCAGAAACTGTTGGCTACTGTGCACTCATCGGCCTTTGTGGCAGGGGCTGATGGTTTCTAGCAGCAGACGCAGCCTGCTGGCCTTTCAGCTGGCAACTCTGCAGCTCCAGAGCCCGCTGCCGCCACTGGGCTGGCCGTCGAAGCAGCAGGCATGGTGGCAGCATCAACAGCAGGTGGGGGGAGGCATGTGATGCAGACTACTGGATTCGTTTACTCATCCCACTGACTTTTTGCTTACATTTGGGAGCTGCTGCTAATAGCACTTAGACTTATAAGCCATTTTATAGTGCTTTACAGCCCTCTCTAAGCAGTTTACAGAGTCAGCATATTGTCCCCAACAATCTGGTTCCTCATTTTACCCACTTCGGAAGGATGGAAGGCTGAGTCGACCTTGAGCCTGGTGAGATTTGATCTGCCAAACTGCAGGCAGCCAGCAGTCAGCAGAGGGTAGCCTGCAGTACTGCACTCTAACAACTGTACCACCAAGGCTCAGTATCCTTCTCTAGTAATCCTAGAGAAGAAAGCATAATTGTTAAAAAAAGTATCCTCATGAAAGTATCAGCATTTCTATTTTAAAGTACTAAAAAGTATGACAAATAAATGCACTGGTAGTGCAAAAGAATTTTTGACTTTTCTTGGCTCTTCAACTAAGCCAGTTTTGCTTGGCCAATAAACAGGCAGAGGAAGTATTTCTCTTCTCATA